AACAGGGGTAGCTGTGGAGGAGATGCGGATGAGCACTCCTGCGGACGATGCGTGGGGTGTGTGCGCAAGGGGGTGGAGGACGATGAGGAACACGATGGATCCCTGCAGCTCTCGGCCTCGTCTTCGCGTAGGATGGATTCCGTAAACACTTTCGGTTCAAGGGACTGACTGACTTGCTTCGGTCCTCCAGGCTTGGGCATTGTCTTGTGCCGTGTCCCAGCGGCCGGATTCACTACCACACGCAGACACTTGACTTTCGTGAGACGGAATGGCGAAGTTCTTGCTGCTTTCGCTCAGCGCCCCCCTGGCACAGGGCATCGGCTTGAGGCCAGATCTCAAGCCTCAGGCCGCTCGCTCTGGCCCCCAGTCCGCCCAGAGTACCGACGCTGCGAGCACGACCAGGACCATGTCGGCCCAGGCCCTGCAGTACTTCCGCGGGATCGAGAATGCGTCGGCCAAGAGCCCCCTGCTCCTCATGACCTTGAAGTCGAACGAGGCCTGTGGACGACGATCAGTGGAGAGGAAGCATGCTGCCAACTAGTTCCCAGATGTTTGAAATATGTTCAAAACGTATCCTAGACATGCAAGAACCATGTTTCAAACATCTTTAGACCATGTTTCAAATCTTGTAGACACATTGAATAACTCAAGGATCGGACTGTTTGGGTGTCAATTGCCATGGCACCCACAAAACGAGGTCGTCTCCATCGGCGGGGACTTCCGGCCCTCGGAGGAGTTCGAGAGCACTGGCCAGGAGCAGCGGCAGCAGCAGGGCCAGGCGCCTCGGTTGTTTCTTCCCGAGCAGAGGAGGGCACCCGCCCCGGCCCCCCTCCAGCCAGGCTGGGACCTAGTGTTAAGTCGGGCATGTCCCTCTACAGGAGGAATGAGCAAAAATAGTTTAGAAGTCGTCTGGGGACGATTCTTCGATTCATATTGTTGACAATCTTTGGGGCATCTTTTGACTTTTTTTGTTCTTCGTCCAGAATCCGCCTTTAGGGGACATGCCCGACCTAGGCTTAGTGGTCCTGGAAACGGCAGGGCTGTTTTTTTAACGGAGCCGATGTGCCGTTTTTGTTGCCGGTTCCGTCGCAATTGTTGTTGCCGTTTCCGTCGCCACTTCGTTGCCGCTGCGGTTCCGGTTCCAATCCCGGAGCCGTTTTTGTTGCTGTATCTGGTCGCCGTTTTTGTTGTCGCTTCCATTTTCAAAGAGGCCGTTTCCGGGGCCCACTGATTGCTGCGGCGGGGGAGGGGGGGGGGCACACATGAGGTGAGAAGTAAAAGGGGGAGGGGGACCCAAACCCCCGACGTCATGATTTTGTTCATAACGTCGACGCTCAAAGATTTCAGACCCACGCTCCAGCACCGGCTTCTCCTCCCGAGTAATTCTTGGACGATCCCGGGGCCCGGGTGAGGGCCCCCAGAGGCCGACCATGGCGAAACACCTCCCGCCGTGACTTTTTGTATTGTGTGTGTGTGTCTTTTCGTGACGCGAGGGGGTAAGGCAGGAAGGAAGAGTGTTTGTGCTTGTTTTCGTGACGTCTGTGTGTGTGTTGTGTGTGCGTTTTCGTGACGTGTGTGTGTGTGTGTGTGTGTGTGTGTGTGTGTGTGTGTGTGTGTGTGTGTGTGTGTGTGTGTGTGTGTGTGTGTGTGTGTTTGGTGTGTGTGTGTGTGTGTGTGTGTAGTGTGTGTGTGTGTGTGTGTGTGTGTGTGTGTGTGTGTGTGTGTGTGTGTGTGTGTGTGTGTGTGTGTGTGTGTGTGTGTGTGTGTGTGTGTGTGTGTGTGTGTTGTGGTGTGTTGTGACGTGAGTCTTGTGTGTGTGTGTTTTCGTGACGCGGTGTGACGGAAGTAAGAGTTTTCGTGACGTACGCGTGTGTGTGTGTGTGTGTGTGTGTGTGTTTTCGTGACTCGAGGGAGAGAGGCAGAAACGAGCAGGGGGGAAGGCAGAGGTCGGGAAGGACGATGGGGATCCGATGGCCCCTCCCGGGGCCCGTCCCGGCCCGTCTCTTGGGGCGACGTGCAGCCGTGGCGGCCAGCAGCCTCCGCGAGACGACAGGAAACGACGAAACACGCCAGGGGGCGCCGCCGTGGTTTCGACAGGCCACCCCGTCCTCCTCCTCCTCCTCCTCCTCCTCCTCCTCCTCCTGCTCCTCCCTGCATCCTCCTCCTCCTCCTCCTCCTCCTCCTCCTCCTCTCCTCCTGCCCTTCCTCCTCTCCTCCTCCTCCTCCTCCTCCTCCTCCTGCCCTGCCTCCTCCTCCTCCTCCTCCTCCTCCTCCTCTCCTGCCCTTCCTCCTGCCCCTCCTCCTCCTCCTCCTCCTTCCTCCTTCTCCTCCTCCCTCCTCATCTCCTCTCCTCCTCCTCCTCCTCCTCCTCCTGTCCTGCTTCCTTCTCCTCCTCCCTCCTCCTCCTCCTCCTCCTCCTCCTCCTTTATCCTCCTCCTCCTCCTCCTCCTCCTCCTTCTCCTCCTCCTCCTCCCGGTCCTCTTCCTCCTCGTGCTTCTCCTCCCCCTCCGTAGCCATCGTGGCTGAAGCCATTTCGGCTCAAGGCATGGTGTTCCACCCACTTTCGGCGCGGGCGCGGGACCCGCGGTGGCGCGGGATGCTGCCGCCGCCCCCTCCGTGGCGTGCGCAGATCCAGTGCCCCCGCGGCCCGCGGGGGCACGGGCGTCCGCCGACGCGCTCGTCCTACGGCTCTCGAGGGAGCTGTCTGAGGCCCGATCGAAGTACGAGGCGCTCGTGGATGCACTCGGGGACGACGAGGTGGTCCAGCGGCTGAGCGCCGTGGACCCTGCCCTCGCCTCGCTTCTGCGCGGGCGGCACTCAGCGCCCGCGGACGAATTGCGCCGTGATGTGGCTCTTCATGCCGAGGCTCCTGGTGTGGACGTGGCACGCGCTAGCACGCGCCAGCTGCGCGCGGCAAGGCGCGGCCCCCGCTCGGGCCCTCGGCAGCCTGCCCAGGAGAGCGTCGGCGTCGAGAATTGCCACGCCGAACATCCGCACAGCAGGCTCCCTGCGGTCGAGCCCCGGGTCGCCCCTACGGAACTGCGCGCGGAGGCCACCCGCTGCTTGCCAGGTGCGGTCCAGCAATCCCTCGCCTCCTGGTCGTGGGACGTCGACGTGTTGACGTCTGCGCTGCTCGGGGGGGGCCGCGTGTGAAGAGTCGAGGCTGGCCGACGGTGGGGATTCCAGGATGGACGTGAAGGCGGAGGTTAACCACTGCGTCTAGGCGCAGCTGTTGCGGCCCGTGGCCGCCGCCGCCGTAGACCCGAGCGTGGACCTCTTGGTGGCTCTGCGGTTCGACGGGGGCCATATGGCGGTGGCGGAGGTCGAGTGCTGCTGCAAGCTCGGCCTGACCGCCAGGCGTTCGAAAAGCTGGAGTTCGCTGAGGACGGCCCCCGGGCACCCGCTCCCCTCCAGCTCCAGGCCGCTGTGTCGGGCCAGATGGAGATGCCGCTCTTCCTCTTGACCGCCCCACGTCGGAAGGGGCTGTCGTTGAAGTGGATACGGCTTCCATCTGCGCGCAGGACTGGGCCGCGCAATTGTTCGATCGGAATGGTGTTCAGATGGATAACGGAGTGGATGGCCGAGTTGATTGCACTGACGTTGATGGCTTTGTTTTCGGGCAGTAGGGTGGTGTTGAAGATTCACAAGTTTATTGTGCCCGTGTGCTAGCTTCGCTTGCAGCTTCGCCTGCAGTTTCCCCACGTGACAGTTCTAGTTTTGCGTATGTTCAGTCCACGTGCGACCTTGCCGCTCTCTTTCTGGGTACGGGCACCTGCGGTTGCCTGGCGCATGCTGGAGATGACTGGAAAGCGGCAGTGGTCAGCACACGTAGTAGCAGCATGTATTAGTGTGAGGTCCGCGATGGTGTTCTGGAGCCTGGCTCTCAGCTGCGTTTGTGCGTTGTTTGCGACTCTGTCCTGTGCCCCGCGTGTTTCGACTTTGCCAATGGCCTCGCCGATGCATATGGCAACTTGGTCTTCCAGAGCCAGTTCTCTCTCAATTGATGAGCTCTCCTTTAGGGCCGCCTGGTTGTGAATTCGGAGGCGCAGCCAGGGTCACCGCCATTCCGGTTTAGCACCGTTTAGCTCGGCTTTTCTCCCCGTATCTCGTCTCGTCCACGGAGCGCATTGGGGTGGAGCACTTTGTCACCGACGAGCTCGTGCACGGGATGTGTGGGCAGAGTGGTGCAGCGGTAGAAAAACCCTCCTCGTCCTCCTCGGGACAACACCTTGCCAGGGGACAACACCCCAACTCGAAAGTTGGTCCCGCTTATTGCCTTGACCAGCGTTTCCCCGTCTCCGCCCTCTTTTCGATCTTGTGCACTTTGAGTCCGTGGTCTGTGAACAAGTTGCTTCGCCTAACGCAGTAACCATCGCGGAGTCTGCTGCTCGGTTTCTTCTGCTGGGTTGGGGGCCCATTCCGTTTGTGCTCTCCGCAGGGTGTGACAAGGATTCCCCAAGAAACGTGTTTACCAATACGCGGCATCGCACATTCTCTGTCGCAGGGATTTCTCTCCCTGTTTACCCCCAGACAAGACATTCCTGGCTTCATCTAGAGCCCTTTCGAATTCCCACCTGCGTGTGTTATTTTATTTGTGTGGTTGTGCAGCACACCAGAGGATTTGTTAACCACGTGTTCGGCCGCCGTCCCCGTTTGGCGCGAGCCCCAGCACGCCACAACAAAGTGTGGTTCTTGGCTTGAGCCATTTTGGCTCAAGCCAGGATTTGCCCCGACAGTTTTTGCCACTTGGGATCTTCTGCTGCCTTCCGCTGCCTTCCGCGCCTCAGCCATGGCCGCGATTGAGGCGGTATTGGCACGTATCGAAGCTAGCATGCAGACGAAGGAGGAAGCGAAACAGAACGTGGACGACCTCAAAGATACCGTGACTAAGTGCACTAAGAAGTTCGATGGTAATCTCGAGGATCAGATAATCCAGGTATGGACAGTTGTGTGATGTCCGTGACAACGGAACGTAAAAGCCAGCGCGACTGCGGAGGCCCAGCGATCACAACCGCAACATAATATTGACATTGCAATCTGCATGAACGCGTGCTGTGAACGCTCCTTCCGGGCACGAGGGGGCACAAAGTGTTAACATCGCCCCGTCCTCCTTCGTTGGTTTCCTTCTCCTCCCCCTCTTCCTTCCGCGCGTCCCTCCACCCTCCCAGCCTTTGTCCCCCTCCCCTTTCGTCCCCCTGCTACGCTCCTTGGCCCACGCCCCTCCCTGCCGCTCAAACTTTCACACTGCAGGTGCGCTGCGAGCGCTCCTGCCGGGCACGGGGGGGCACATTTTGTTAACATCGCTCCGTCCTCCTTCCTTGGTTCCTTTTGCTCCCCCTCTTCCTTTCACGCGCCCCTCCACCCTCCCAATATTTGTCCCCCTCCCTTTCGTTTCACTGCTACGCTCCCTGTCCCACACCCTTCCCTGCCGTTCAGACTTTCACACTACAGGTGCGTAGGACAGCGTACCATTACTCCATGCTGTCCCGAACCAGGTACCGAGAGGGGCAAGTTGCGAGGGGCGCGTTCACTCAAGGGGGGCTGGCGTGCCAGACGCGAGTTCTGCCGACGCCCCGATCCAGGCGCAATGAGGAACTGAAGAGTACCTCTTCTAGCACACTGTGCGTAGCGCTGGGGTTCGGGGGTGCACCGAAACATCGACCCCCAGGTGGCGAAAGCCAGGCCGTGGCTTTGCGCCGTCCCTTCTATGGCCATGAGAAGGGCCATACACACTTCCGAAGCAATCTATATCACTTGCGCGACGCCTCTCCCGCGCACCTGAGCAGCCCTTACGGCTGTCGTCTCCGAGGATGGCCGAAACCAAGCCGGGGAGAGTTCAGAAACCGTGGGGGACGTACCACGTTAGTGGCCACCTCGCCCATTCATCACACTCATCCCCCATGCGGTAAGATTCCCGGAAACCATTTGACTCAAAGGACTGGTTTCTGCCATCCTCAAGATTTTAAGGATGAGACCTCCTAGAACCCCTGCAACTCCTTTTCTGCATGGGCATGCTGCGTTGCGCAGCGGGTGAGTGGGTAACCGCAACCACCCTGACCAGGGTTCTGATGGTCGCCTCATCCTTCAAGATAGGTTCTATGTGCCCTCGAAGCTTATAGCGCACCTGGCAGTCCTCCTCCTCCTCCCCCTCGAGAGCGGGGGATTCTGGAGACGCACGCCTTTCGGAGGGTGTCTTCCCTTTCTGATGTCCCTCCTTCTCTGTATTCCCTTTCTCATATACCTCCTCTTCCTCCTCCTCCTCCTCCTCTTCCTCTTCCTTCTCTTCCTCCTCCTCCTCCTCCTCCTCCTCCTCCTCCTCCTCCTCCTCCCCCTGCTCTCCCAGAATCGAGCTATTTGCTGCTTCTGCTCTCTCCTCAAAAAATAGCGGGGTGGTATCCCGTTTTTTTGCGTTTTTTTGAAGGGGGAGGGGGGGGCTCCCTACTCTCTTCCGCGTTGCCCAGCTCTCCTCATTCCTCTCTCCCCCGCCCTCCTCTTTCCCTCCCCAGAATCGCGTTTTTGCTTCTCCTTCCCCCAAACAAAAAACGTAACGCCGCCTTCAGTTGTGTTTCTTTGTTTGAAGGGGGGGGGGCTCCTCCTCCTTCGCGCTGCTCCGCTCCCTCCTCCTCCTCCTCTCCTTGCCTCCTCCTCCTCCTCCTCCTCCTCCTCCTCCTCCTTTCCCCCTTGCCCAAGAATCTAGCTTGCTGTTTTTTGTTTCCCTGCCCCCCCCCCCAAAAAAAAAAACACGCGGCGCGGCCTCCTGTTGTTGTGTTGCTGTGTTTCTTTGTTTTTTTGGGGGGGGGCTCCTCCCCCTCCTCCGCGCTGCGCCGCTCCCTGCTTCCTCTCTCCCCCGCCATCCTCCTCCTCCTCCTCCTCCTCCTCCTCCTCCTCCTCCCCATTCCCCCTTTTAAGCTATAGAGATGCTTCGAAAGAAGGAAGTGCTCCGCTTGGCATTGGATTGGCATTGGTTTGGCCATGGCTTGGCATCGCATTGACACTGCGTTGGCATAGCGCCTGGCAGTGCGTTTGCATTGCGCTTGTATGCCGCAAGCATTGCGCTGACGGGTCCTAATGGGACCCTCCACAAACTGATTCAGATTGAAACGCTCTACCATAGGGACTCCGATCGCCCCCCCCCCACAAAAGGGGCTTATTCATATTGAAACCCTGCGCAGAAGGATTCCATGCGAAGCCCTCCCCAGAACGATTCCTATTGAAATCTATCACACATGCTTTCCCCATTGGCATTGCATGGACATTGGGTTGGGATCGTTTTGGCATTGGTTTGGCATTGCGTTGGCGCTGTTTTGACATTGCGGTGGCGAGTTCACATGGCTCCCTCCGCAAAGTGATTTTTATTAAACCCCACAAGAAGGATTCCGATTGAAGTATTCCTCAATAAAGGGTTCATATTGAACCCACTCGCAGCCCCCCACCGAGGGAATCCTGACACCGATCACAAGCAACTCCCCCCACGCATTTCATTGGGATTGGATTGTGATTGCCATGGCATTGGTTTGGCATTGCGTTGGCACTGCTTTGGCGTTGCGCTGGCGAATTCTAGTGGCTCCCACCATGGACGGATTCCGGTTGAAATTTTCCACACGAAGGGCTCCTTGTTTGAACGCCCCCCACATGAGGGGTTGATTGTCAAACCCTCCACAGAAGGATTCTTGCCGACACCACCAACAATATGATTCCGATCGGCATCCCCGACGAATGATCTGTAACCAAATCATCCACATAAGGATTTCGGTATGAATCTGTTGAAAGGCTGGAATCATGCCATCGGCATTGTATTCGCATTTGTTTGGTAACCGTTTGGCATCGCGTTGGTATTGCTTTGGCATTG